CCCCGGGCACACAGGTGCGTGTCGTGCACCCACAGCAGCTACCCGTGGCGTGGGACCTGCCGTGGGGGTCCCCCTCTCTGCCCCACATACCCCCCCCTGCCCCAGCATCTCCACGGCAAAGGTGCTGGCACCGTGGGGTGCCCGGACCCCCCAGCTGTGCGGGGCAGCCCTGGGGTGGAGGGGAGCTGCCAGGGTGCCCCCACCCAGGATTCCCCCACCCGTGGCACAGCTGGTGCTGGCCTGGCTGTGGGTGCAGCCGTCCGGTGAGATTTTGGGGAGGACACAGGAGCTTCCGTGGGGGTCTCATTAGAGCCCTGACAGCGGAACAGGCTCGGCTCCCCAGGGCACCTCAGACCTCCCAGCAGCAGCAAGGGGCTCGGGCCCCCCCAGTGCCCCCAGGGAAGGTGAGTGTGACCCCCAAGCACAGACCCCCTTTCCCCATCCGTCAGCAGTGGGGTACATCCCGCCGGCTGCCTGCTCCTGCCAGCTCAGCCCTGCTCCCCCCCGCCTCAGTTTCCCCTCCTGGAGGCACTGGGAACAGAAACCAGCCCCATGGGACAGCTCAGGAGGGGACCAGGAGCTCGTTAGGCAGCAATTAGCTCCCTCTCCCCAGGGGTGAAGGCAGGAGTCCTCTCTTAAGGGCAAGAGGAGCAGCCCACGGCCCCGCCAGGTGTTTTTGCTGTCCCGCTCACTGGGGACAGACATCCTGGCTCTGTCCCTGCCCGTGGGCGAGCGTGTGCCGTCCGCACCGCCTCCACCCGTGCCAAGCTGCCAGGAAATCTCATGAATCTCTGCAGATTTGGTCCCAAATGGCTTTTTCATCCCCCCCCCTTCCCAGTTCTGCGCTGTGTTTCCGGACTCTGCTCGCTCCCTGGGGCTGGAGCTGGGCAGGGAGACACGCGGCAGGAGGGGACAAGGGACACGTTTCTTTTGGAGACGAATGCTTGAAGTCTGCCCCAGCACCTGGACCTCATACCAGCCCAGAGGAGAGGACCGATAGCTGGGGACATCGAGTACACGGCCACACTGGTGCCCCATTGCTGAAGCTGCATCTTCCCCATCCCCGGGGCTTTGCGCTCCTCCCCACCCCGGAGCTGGGCAGGGGGGGGTTGTAGGTGTTTTGCCTCCTTTCCCCCCTCCATCGCAGCTCTCCTCCCCTGGCCGTGGGTGTCTATCACCCATCCCTGCACCCTGTAGCCATCCCTGACCCGAGAGGCCCCCGCCGGCATCTCCATCATTGCAGTGATGTTGCTTATCAGGGCTGAGACCCTCCCTAAACTCATATCACCTAAGCAGAAGCTGCCTTGCTGGGGGAGAGGGCTGATTCCAGCCCGTAGGTGGGTGCCCTCCCAGCATGGGACCCCACTGACCCATCCCTGTGCCCCCCCCGCCAGGACATCCCCCCGGGAGCGAAGGGCGACGGAGAACCCGGGAGACCTCACCGGGAACCGAGGGGACCCACATCAGCCAGGACCTGGTGGGGGGCACCCTGGCCATCGACACGCTGCCGGCCAACGAGACACGGATCGTGGTGAGTCGGGGCCCCCGCCGCTGCTGCTGCTGCCGCCGTCTGCCCCGAGGCAGGATCTGGCCAGTGCCTGACCACCGAGAGCTATTTCCAGGCTGGGCAGGGAGCTGGTGGAGACGGTGGTGGAGACGCTCTGATTTAATGCGCGGGGCCAGATCCTGGCAGCCCGGAGGGTAATTACAGGCCAGTGCAGAGGCGGCCGTGCCCTGGGGATCGCTCCGAGCCCTCCAGCCATCCCTGTCTGCGAGCCCTGGCACGTCCTGGGGCCATCCCTGGTCTGAAGAGCCAGGGATGCTTTGCTTGCCACGATGCCACGTGTGCGGCGAGGATGATGCTGCCGAGGTTATCGGAGCCGAGCGGGCTTGAGGCCGTGCCGAGGCGAGGTGGCTGTGTGGGAAGCAAGGGGGGGGTCTCTGGCTAGGGATGGCAGCAGCCTGCAGCGCTGCTAACAAACTCATGTAGCAGCAGTGTCGCCTCCTGGGACATCTCACTTGGTTCTCACATCCCGGCTGTGCCTAATTACCCGCCCTCAATTAGCTCCAGGTTATTTGTGGTGGGGCTGTGTGTGTCCCTTGGCTCTGAGGTCTCCAGGGTGGGGGGGATGTGTGGCTGTCGCTGAGGGTGGTTTCTGGTGGAGGATGCACTGGCTGTGGTGACTTGTCCTGGTGTTTTTTGTCGGCAGCTGGTTGTGGATTTGGTGGAATTAGTGCCCCCGTGGCACAGCGGGCAGGGGAGAAACAGCTGTGGCTCTTTCCACTCTGCTCGAGCTCCAGCATGGCCTCGCTTGTTGATCTTTGGGGATGGAGAGGGGCCAGAAGCCAGAAAAGTCCCTGATGTGGAAGCATTTAAAAAAAAACCCCAAACCAGCCCAAAACCACCACTGGCCACCACAGCATTTAGAGATGCTGGGAAGCCACAGGGAGGGTGTGATGGTGCTTGTGGTTCCCAGGAGGAAAAAGCAGCAATTTCCTGGGGCTCGGCGCTGTCGGGGGACAAGGGGTGTCTGCCCCAAGAGTGGGGCCACGTTCGAGGTCAGGGATGCTGCTCCTCTGCACGTCGCTGTATCTCGCCGTGTCTGACCCGCAGAAGGTGTGATCCTACCTTGGGAGGTGCCAGCTCGGGGTCTGGAGGGGTTTCCTCTCTCTCCCCCCCAAAAATGTTCCAGGTATGGGGTGCAGAGGGGCAGCTCTGGACCCAAAGGATGAAGAGGGGTGTGATGTGGGGCAATGCCGCCGTCCGTCCCCGAGCTCTGCCCCACGGCAGCTGCCCTCCCCACTTATTCGTGTGTCTGAAACCTCCCCTCTTAATTCCTGCTGTAACCAAAGCAAGGTGACAGATTAGGACATCCTAATGAGTCAGCGATGAGGTCAGGATCTCGGCAGCCAGCTCCTCCGTGCTCCCGGCCCTGCTTATTTCCCCCCCTCTGGTTTATTTGGAACTCATTGGGAAGGCATGGAGGGGGACGAGGGCACAGGAGGTTTTGTCGTTTGTCACCCAGCGGTGACCTGTCCCTGCATCCCAGGGGGTTTCCAAAACCTTTGCATGGGGAGGTATGTGCTGGGATGCCACAGGTACTGGCACAGCTTTCCCCGTGCCTCAGTTTCCCCATCCACAGGGAAGGGACGATTACCAGCAAGAAGGGGCTATAATTGCCGTAGAGAAGAGGTAAGAAAGTTTTCCCTGGAGTCAGGGCTTACAGAGGAGGCAGAGGAGCGCAACGGCTCTCCCTGAACTTCGCTGAAGCAGAAAAAATTACATGTTGCAGGATTTTTCTAATAGCATTTTATTCCTTATGACTCCCACTGACCTGCAACAGCTCTCTGGGGAATAACACAGGGCTGTTCAAAGCGGGGGGGCTTTGCTTTCTCTTTTTTACCCCCGCTGACCCATTAAATGCTGGGCTGACGGTTCCTTCCCTGCCTCCGGCACCCAAGTTTGTGCGCAGGGAGCAGGTCTGGGAGCGGGTCCCGGGGTCAGCCGGGGTGGGGGGAGCCGCAGGCAGGGGGTCTGGGGGGAAGATGCTGGGGGCGAGGGGGGCTCAGAGAGGGCTGAGCAGCAGAAGCTCAGCAGACTGGGACGAGTGGCGAGCGTGGCGGCACGCCAGGCGCTGGCGCGGAGCAGCGGAGCAGCGCTTTCCCAAGAAAAAATTAAGATGCTTCGCGTCCCCTGCCCGGCGTGAACCGGCCTCCCTTGACAGGCGATGGCTCCCAGCTGTGTCCCTGGCTGGCCGCACGCCGAAGCGGGTCGGAGAGGCTCGATGGGGCCGGCGTGGCCAGGGCACGGGCTGTGCAGGGCTGGCTGTGCCCCGGGAAATCGCCTGCTCTCCCGTGTCCCCCGAGAAGCCGCCGCAGAGCCTCATGTGCAGGTTCCTGCCAAGGATGCGCGTCCTTCGACAGGTCCCTGACCAGTTGGAGATGGCTCTTGGCAGAGCTGCTGCGTGGTCCATGCTTTGGTCTGCTGGGGAGAGGGGGCTTGGGGAGCCTGGGGGTGCTGCTGGTGGCATGGGCAGGCTGGGAGGGGGGTGCCCGGGGTCCCTCTCCTGTCTCTGGGTGAGAATAGTAAGGGGGGATCTGATCACTCACGCAGAGCCATGCCCCATCCCACGCTCCGGGGATGTCACCCAGGAGAGCAGAGCCCGAGCCCCGCTCCCCTCGCCGTGTCCCCCGTCCTCAGCCCCTCGCTCCTGCTCGGCTGGCGGCGATGGCTCGGCTGCTTTCCCCGAGCTGCCTGTTCCAAGGTTAATCATTTCCTCCGGGCTTCCATGTCTTCAGTTGTTTGCTTCGCTTCTAGTGGTCACTTTAGCTGTAACTTCCAGCCCCTGGCTCCGGAACAGGATATTTTCCTCCCAGGAAGGTTGCATCTGCTTTGCTGAAGTCTCTCGTGAGTCATGTCTCTCTCTCGCCAGCCAGCCCGTCCTCTCTGCACTCAGTCGGTCTCGTGGGTCTTCTCTGCACCTTCTCCAACTGCTCAGCATCCTTTGCTGGCTTCGCATGGGGTTCTGCTGTGCTGGTTTTATTGCTGAGATCAGGTCCCGGCTGCTCTGAGCCATGCCTGGGGGTTTGCTACTCCACGGAGCAAGCTGGGTAACACCGTCCCCTGTCACCCCATCCCTCCCCGGCTGCAGGAGGACAACCACAGCTACTACGTGTCGCGGATCTACGGGCCGGGGGACGCCCGTCTGAGAGGGCTGTGGGTCGACATGGCAGCGGCCAACAGGAGCCAAGTGAAGATCCACGGGATCCTCTCCAACACGCACCGGCAAGCCTCGGTGAGCCCGCGGGGCAGTTCCACTGCCTGGGGTGTCCCCCCGTCTCCTCTCCCAGCCGGGGATTTCCCAAGGGTGGCACCTCGCCCTGGGACAGCAGCATCATCCCCTCCATGTCCCTGTGACAGCCTGGTGGAGACCAAGGTTTGGGAAGCGTTTAGCCTCCCCCAGCCCCAGTCTGGGGCTGAAGCGGATGATCTGTGGGGACTGGGCACCCGCAGGACCCCCGCTCCCATCCCTCTCCCACTTCTCCAGGCACCGGCACCGGGACCTTGCTCCAAGCCAAGGCAGAGCCGGTGCCGGTGGGCACAGACCAGTCCCCCTGCATCCCCAGCAGGCATTTTTCCAAGGGTTGAACATGGTTCTCACCCCGTCTCCCTCCCACAGAGAATCGTCCTCTCCTTTGACTTCCCCTTCTACGGCCACCTCCTGCGGCAGGTCACGATAGCGACGGGTGGTGAGTCGGGATGGGATGGGATGCCCGCGCTCGGTTGGCATTCCCCGCGGTGGGAGGGCTGGGCACGGCTCTGGTGCTGGCTCTAACCTCACCCCACGTCCCTGAGCCCCAGGGAGCTCAGACAGAGAAGGGGCTGCAGCCCTTCTAGCTTTCTCCCCGTACCCCAAATCTAACTCCTGCCCTGCTGCTGGTGCTCAGGGCATCGGGTGCTGCTGGTGCCTCAGTTTCTGCACCAGTTGAGGGGATGCTGGGGGTAAAAAAAAAAAAAAAAAAAAGGATGGGTGAGCTAGGACAGGGTGGTGGGAGGTCAGAAAGAGGGAGGGAGCATCCCAGGGCGGTGGAGAGGAGCGTGCAGTGCTTCACCCTCCTCTGCTCGCTCAGGTTTTATCTTCATGGGGGATGTCATCCACCGGATGCTCACGGCCACGCAGTACGTCGCACCCCTCATGGCCAACTTCAACCCCAGCTACTCCCGCAATTCCACCGTCCAGTACCTGGACAACGGTGAGCCCTGCTCCGGCCGACCCTCGTGCAAGCCGTGGTAGCTGCCGTACGTGCAGAGCAGCAGGCGGCCTGCCTGCCTGCTCCTTCCTCGTAAAATTGGGCAAAACTCAGCGCTCTGGAGCAAATAGAGGGGCCGGAGCCAGGTGGGGGTGTGGGGAAGGGGAGCCCAGGGCAGCAGGGGCTGTTCAGTGCCTGGGGGGGGCTTTGGGTGGGGGGTGGCAGGGATGTTTGGCAAGGGCTTGTTCATGGGTCTGCTTAGAGCAAAGTGCTGGGTGTTTGGGGGATCAGGTGCCTTGGAGCTTTGCTGACGGAAGAGAACCGGTCAGGCTGTTGAGATGCGGAGCAAGGAGAGATGAGAGGACTGATCCACTCTGGTCTCTCCCCCAGGGACAGTTTTTGTGGTGCAGTGGGACAAGGTCTATCTTCAAGGGAAGGAGGACATGGGCAGCTTCACCTTCCAGGCAGCCCTGCACAGCACTGGGAGAATTGTCTTTGGGTACAAGGAGGTGAGAGGTGTTTCTGCTGGGGTAGGCACGGCAGAAGGGTCCCAGCAGGGGATCCCCGTGGGCCTGGGAGGAGATCTGATGTTACAAGTGTTCACACGCTGAGCCTGGGCATTCCCAGTGCCACCAAAGCGCTGGAGACTTCTGCAGCAGCACCAGTAGCCCAGGGCAGGGCTGGAGTCCGTCACGTCCTCTCTCCCCGGCTGCAGATCCCCGTGCCGGTCCTACAGATCAGTGCCACCCAGCACCCCGTGAAAGCTGGCCTCTCCGATGCCTTCATGATCCTCAACCCATCTCCCGATGTGCCTGGTGAGTGGCTGCGCTTGAGGAATTGGGGGAGGCAGCTGCTGAGGCAGGGAAGCGGCGGATCCCGCAGGGATGCCAAGGCTCCCCAAGGCGGCTGGGAGAGGGGGCATATGGGGAAGGAGAGGTGAGACGTCCCCGTCTTTGGGCGCTTCAGGATACAAGGAGGCACTGCTTGGATTCACGGTGGGCGGCGAGGGAGCGTGAGGAGGCACGTGGGGCTCGGCTGCAGGGATGCCCCTCGTGTCTCACATCCCCGGGTGCATCTCTCTCCGTGGCCAAGACCATCGCGCAGCCTTGTGCTCTGGGTGGCCCCAGCCCGCGGACGCTGTGTGCTTTGGCGAGGCGATGCAGGCAAAAGAGCTTCATGCTTCTCGCCCAGCGTGTTCCAAATCGCTGTGAGCAGCCAAGCTATCGCTTCCCTGATTCCAGCTGATGATGAGGAGGGGAAGAACAATTGCAAATGAGACCGCAGATGGACGAGAGGCTTGGGGGGTGCTGCCCCGTTCCTATAGGCATGGGGGTTTAGGCGAGCCTAGAAGCTGCACCGCTGCTGCTCTGGACTGTCCTTGAATGTGTATCGTGGCATGGGTGCTGCATGGCTGCTGCGGGCAGGGCCAGGATCTGCACCTGTGTCAGCAGGACACGGGGACAGCTACATACGTGTCTGCGTGCTTATTCCACACGTGCCGTGGGCTGCAGGCGTGGGCTGATCTTGCTGAAAAGGCTTTTCCAGCCTCTCCCGTCCCCTCTTGTCATGAGGAGCCCAACCTCGCTCCTGCCTCCCCGCGCTGCACCCGGTGCGGTTGCTTTTCCTTGTTATTTATGGAGCCTGCCATCTGGCCCTCATTTATTACCCGTTTACAACAGTTTGCGTAAAAACCTCGGCCAGGCTGGAGGGAGCCTCCTCTCCCCGCCCCACCAGCCTGCCTCTCGCCGGACTGGTGCCCTCCATCCATCCCCATGGGCTTGCTGGCCCCTGCCTGTACCTCCTGCCTGCCCCGGGGGTGTGAGGGGAAAGCCTGGAGAGAGAAGAAATGCAAGAAGTGGGCACAAAAAAAAGCTAATGAGGTGAAGAAACAAGGCTTGAAGGGAAGGAGAGGAGAGGGGGTAGGAGGGAAGAGCGTTCCATCCTGCTCATCCACTGGTCTCCCAAGTGCGGAGCAGAGGTGTGAGGAGCCGTGGCCGTGCTGGAAGGACAGGTTTGATTATCCTCGCAGATAAGCGTGATGCCAGAGAAGCATCTTGGCTGGCATCACCACGTGAATTAGTGGCAGACATTGGGAGAAAATTTGGGAGAAGCTTGAATCCAAGATAGACCCCTCTGGCCCCCAGGATGAAGGGGAGAGAGAAGGAAGGGGGCAAGGCGTGAGGGAGATGGGGGGAAGGAGGAGGCTTTGGGGGGGAAGGCAGCTGCAGAGCAGGAGCCCCGGGAGCGGTGTGGAGCTCCGGGCGAGTGCTGCACTCGGGGGAGGCTCGCAGCCCCGTGAGTCACTGACGAGCAATGTGTTGTGCAGCTTCATGTTTGTTTAGAGCGATGTAGGACTGGACCACATCCATCTCGGGAGTCTCTGGTCGGGGAGAGGGGGACAGAGAGCTCCAAGCTCCTCCTAGAAAAACAGGGAAGAGGAGATCTGTGCCCTGACACCCTTCTTTCCCACCGGCACCTCCCGCATTGCTTCTCCTGCAGCCTGACAGCCTCCCTACACTGTCCTCTCCCACGGGAATGACCCCAAGGCCTGGGGCCACCTTTGCCTTTCAGCTGGGAGTCAGCAGCAGCCCCAGAAGCTTTCCCACACGCACCGGGATTCACGTGTAGGGCAGACCCCTTTGCAGGATGGGGAAGGGCACGCAAGGTGGGCTTGTGGCCGGTCTAAAGCCAAGGCTCCATGTTTCAGAGTCCCGCCGTCGGACCATCTACGAATATCATCGCGTGGAGCTGGACACCAGCAAGATCACCAACATGTCAGCCGTGGAGTTCACCCCACTGCCCAGTAAGTCGGACAGGGTGGCGCGGTGCCTCGGAGCGTGTTTCCCTCCCGTGGTTTCACCCAGCAACTACGACAGCCTCCGATTTACAGCCAAAGGGGGAAGCCGAGGCAGGTTCAGTGGGTACTGGAAGGGTGTGTGGCTGCTGTCCATCACCCGACGGTTGAGACCCTGCTGTGCTATCGGCCAGGGTACAGCTCGCCCCTGCTCTGGGGTCCCCCAGTCACTCTGCCTTTGCGAGAAGGTCTGTACGTGGCTGTCACTGAACGTCTCGTACGTACAGCCCTGTCTGGATTTACCAGCTCAGAGTTAACCTCAGCCAACGGCACATCCCACGTGCGTGCCAGCCTGGCTGTGCCGGAGCTGAGACAGGATGCAGCAAAGCTCGGCTGGCATGGGAGAAGCTGATAAAGGAGGGATCTGCAGGCAATTACACCTTACCCGATTTGCTCAGCACTCCCCAACTAAGTGACGAGAGCAGTGGTGCCAGCCACGATGTGTCTGGGAGCGATGTGCTATGGTCCCAAGCTGCGCTCCGTGCCGCTCTGCCAGCACCCTTCCTTGTGTGCAGCTGAGCCGATGGCTCTTGTTGCTCCCCAGTAGAACCCCTCTCGCCCTGGTACTTTAATTCCTTATTTCTTGCACTGACAGCTCTTCCCACCTCTCCAGCCACTGAAACTCCTTCTCTTTGCTCCATAAGCTGCAGCTAATTTTGCTGGACACTGGTTCACTTCAGGTCTGTCTATGAGACATTTTCTACGCCTCCACGCTCAGATGAAATTTCTTAAGGATCCTGTTAAATAGATACATTTTTAGTGTTCAGATCCAAGGACACATGCGCACGAGGGAAAGTCATCATGCGGTCCGTAAATACAGAGCAGAGAGTAAATCTGTCATGAAGATACCAAGGTTATGCATTTAAACGGTCTCTCCAGGGTATTTTATGACAATTTTAACAGCGGGCAGGGTTACTGCAAAGCAGATCATAAATAAGCATTCTGCAATAATTCTATTTTTTCTCCTTAAGACTTGTTATTTTGTTTTTCCCCAGCAGCTAGGGTAGCTGAGAGCAATATCTTCAGAGGAGCCACAGAGCTAGAGAGAACTAGGCTCCCCTTTTTCTTCTGGGGGTTCAATTTTCAGCCTTATTCAGGTCAGAAGTGGATGAACTGGGTTAGCCTCTGCCTCTTCTCCAGAGGTCCTTGCTCGCTTGCTGCCTCCACGTGGCAGTCTGCTCGGGAAAAGCTCAGGACGGGAAAGCGGAGGAGGTCAGGACTGGAGGACACCAGAGAAGTGTGGGCAGCCCAGGTCTGGGGTAGCAGCAGCGGTGAGTTTACTCAAGTGCGAGGGGCAGAACGGGGACCCCCTGGATGGAGAAGTGCCAGAGCGTCTGGGTCAGGATGGAGGGGTGCCAGGCGTCCCCGGTGCGATGGGGATGCTGCTGCCTTTCGGGATCCTGTGAACCTCTGGTGTTCTGCCTTCATCACTCGGTATTTTGCAGCACCAGATCAGCTCTCGGCTCTGTCATCGCGGGCTGTCAGGGTCTCCCGAGGGGCTTGTTAAAACTGCTGGTTTCCTTGACTTTTTTTGCAGACGAGACCTCTCAGTCGTCTTTTCTAGACAGGGTGACAAGCAAATGATGGTAGTCTACGAGCAGCTACTCCTCTCCAGTGTGGAGATATTCTTGCAGAATTACTTAGTGTGGACATAGCAATGGAGGGTTAACCTGTGTTGCTTCCTTCCATTTGAGAAACACCCTCTGTACACTAAGAAATGGCATAAGTCTCGGATGTGGTTTAATTCCCAGCTAAACAGAATGGGAGGACGTTTACAGATGGACTGTGAGTCCACTCCTGCCAGAAAGGTGCTGCCTTGTCCTGCAGGTCCATTGCAGAGAGAGGTTGGGTTAGAGACTCATCTGTTGATGCTCCGGTTCTACCCATGCCACCAGCTTTCAGCAGATGCTCCCTTGTGCCCGTGCAGATGCTGGCGCATCGCTGGTACGTCTCTCCTCTCTCTTTTACAGCTTGTCTCCAGCATCAGAGCTGTGAAATGTGTGTGACCTCGGAGCTGACCTTCAACTGCAGCTGGTGTCATGTCCTGCAGAGGTAGCTGGGATGAGTTTCCTTCCCACCTCTTCTCTTGCTAATGTTTCTATAGCTGGGAGAGCAAGTGCAACTCCAGGTCTGATGCCTGTATCAGTGTTGCTGTTTTTTTATTTCTATTTTCATTTTTTTGCTGGGGTTTTTTTTGTTGCTTTTTGGTTTAGTTAGGCTGCTGCTCTCGTAGTCTCAGAGCCAGGGTTAAGTGGTGGTCTGATCTCCAGTTACAAGCCATTGAAAGGAGACATTTCCTGAGGCTGGGGGCTTTGGGGCTGATGTTTCGATGCAGCAGCTGGAACAAGTTGAGACCAGAAGCAAGACTCACATTTTTGTTAGTGAGATTAAATGAGGGGGAAACTTATCCTGACTTAGGCTGTGATTTCAGACAGAAGAGAAGTGCAGGGCAGGGAGGCTGGGACAGGCTCAAGCCTGAAGGACGGCAGGTAGGTCACAGAGCCCGGGATGCTCATCAGCTCCCCAGCTGCGGGGGACATGCCCTCCTTGTCACGGACAAGACACAGCAAGGGTGGGGGGCACTTGCTGCTTTTTGGGGGGTAAATGGAGGATCTGGGGGGACGGGGCTGGCCTCACTGCAGTCCCAGCCATGCAGCAGTCCTGCTCTGTGCTCTCCTTCAGCTCAAGCAGTGCGATACAGAGCATGAGAGAGTTTAATGAGATTTTGCTGAAATATTTATTTAGAACTAGTGGCAGGGGAGAGGACCCAATAACACAGATCCTCACATGTGGCACGGGGACAGCCGTGCTTGGGAAGTGCCCGGCTCTCCCAGGAAGGTGTGCTGGCTTGCTCCCTTCCCCAGCCGTCTCCTGCAAGAGCTCGCCCCAGCATCGCTCGCAGGGCACCTTCATTCCTCCTTTCTGCAGCCCTTCCTTCGATACGCTCGAGACTTGCACCCTTTCCTTACAGGCAGCAATTTCAGCAAGGTACGAGGAGGGCAGCTGGGACAGGGAAAGATCCTGAGACATCAGCAAAGCGACCCTATAAATCAGCGTTGATTCACTGCCTTTCAGTGGGCTGGAATACAGCCCGAGCCAGGGGAACATCATTTTTCAATGACAGTTGCTCAGTGGTGGCTTCAGATCAGAGAATATTATCTTCTCGCAGCTGAGAGAGATGCGTGAAACCAGATGTGGCTTTGGTAGCAAAACCAAGCTTGGGATACAGTGGCTTAGTCTGGATCTTGTTTGGGCTGAAACCCCTGGGTTCAAGGACTTCGTCATTCTGCTTATTCCAAATTCATGGTGTTTGCAAACTCCATCTTCCAAAATCCAAGTCGCTGTTGCTGATGTTTGCTCTTATCACTTATAGTACGGTGACTTCTTGATGTGTTGGCTAAAAGCCATGCTTCCTGCAGCTGTAACTGCGTATCGGCAGCTCGGTCCTGAAGAGCTTAGGTTACAAATGGAAAGTACAAATGGCAAGCGTGGTGGAAGCTGCAGGCTAGAGCAAGCCTACCACTATCTTGTTGGCTTTCAAACAGGTTGGTTTTGCAAAGCCAAGGTGATCTTTCCCGAGGAAGTTGGTAGGGTGGCTTCCAGGGTTTGAGCTTATATCCTGAGTCCAGCTCAGTGATTTAACCCGAGTCCTCTTAGCTCTCTTCTGGACAGTGGAGTTTGTATTTTTGCTTTTGCTGAGCCTGTAATTGTTACAGGAACTGCACTTTAAGCAAAGATCTCAGTGACTCAGCAGGACCCAAAGTTCTTTGTGGCTTCTCCTCTTTTGCTGGTTGGTAGTTGGGTAAATTAGTGCTTGTATGAGCTGAACCCCTGATTCATATTTTGGTATCCCCAGAGACTTTTCCAAAGGTCAGAGTGCTATTTCATTCCCTCTGTTTCTGTAGAGATTTCTCTAGCTGGTGTTTTCCTGATGCCGTTTATAATTTCTTTAATGTGTTTTTCCTGTGCAGATGTTGCTGGAAAAAAAAAAACAAACTTTGTGGAGATCATGGCCTTGCCCTGGCACAGAGTCCAGGGAATGGAAATTCAAACTCAGTCTATATATTTTTCCTATTTCTCTGCTTCTCCGTTTCCCTTGGAGAAGCAGTGTTGACCCTTTTCCTCCTCTGTGAAGAGGAACATTTGGGTCCTTCCAGCACAGCTGTACTGGAAACCCCATGTCTTTGGAGACTAATTTGTATATAATCTTTCCAGTCCTCAGATACTTGTTTGTCCAAGTATCTGTACACAGCGCCCATCGGGGCAGCATTTGGGACTCTTGGGCAGTTTAGAAATCACTAGCAGTGCCACCCACATAGAGTGGGCAAATGAGCATTATTATTGCTGTGTCTCTCGAGAATGCATCCGCCGCAGGTTAATACTGCTTTTCTCCGCAGATGTTCCAGTGGCTTCGACCGATACCGGGAGGAGTGGCTGTCCTATGGCTGTGGCCAGAAGGTGAGGCTGAGAGCAGAATCACTTCTCTTAGGTCCTCTGCTAGGAATGATGCTGATCTGCAAAAAAAAAAACAACAGTAGCCATGTCCCAGCTCAAAAAATTCACCCTCAGCTCTACTTGACCCATGCTGTTCTGGAACAGACTGAGTATCCCTTCAGATATCCCTTTCCCATTACAGCAGGACCACTAATCCACTTAACAGAGGATGTCTGTATGGGAATAGTTAAAAGATGGTCCATCTAATCCAGCATTTGCCTTGCTGGTGTCTTGTTTCTGTGTTGGTTGGTGCTGGATACTCGGTAAAGGTGCAGAGACCTCCATAAGTTACCAAATGGTGCAACTTGAGTACACTGGGATATTTTTTTCTTCACCTTCTGAAGCATGACTCTTACTCACTCTCAAGCATGAAGAAATTAGCCCTTGTGATTTTTTTTTGTCCTTGTTAGCACAATTATCTCCACATTGGATGAACTAGTTTCTTTGTCTCAGAAAGATCAGCTCTAACAAAACATCTGTTTCTGCTTTGGGGTTTTTTTTGTTGTTTTTTTCCCCCCCACTGAAAACTCAGCTTTGTTCCCTGTTAACCAAGAGGGTTGAGTGAGGGAAAAGAAGGTCACAGGACCTGTGTGAGGTCATCCAGTGATGCAAGAAGGTCAGACTGTAGGACTTTGCCAGATCGTTGTCATTTGTCCGTCTTAAGTGGTTCCCAAACTTTTCCTCCTCTTCTCCAACCTCCAGATCACCCCACCACCACATACTTCTGGCACTTCTGGACCATGTCCCCTGCTTCCACTCCAGTGTTTGAACCCCAAGGGCTCGGTAGCCCTAAGCCCAGGAAGCGCAGTCCTCACCACTGGCTCCCTGGCACTCTTGCTGGAGAGGAGTTAGGAAAAGTAGCTGTTCTCCATTTTCTTTCCAGTCAGATGAGAAGACCTGCGAGGATTTAGCAGAAGGTGACCGCTATTCAGCACCTCCTGACAGCTCTTTCTCACCGCTGGATGAGGATGTCACCACCTCCACGTCCTCGCTCTTCGTTGACAGCCTCACTACAGAAGGTAGGGGCAGGTGGGGTGAGCAGCCGTGGCGGGGACACCCCATCCTCGACGCTTATCCCTGCAGAGCTCTTTCACTCCGATGCCTTGTAAAGCCAATTCGTATCCAGATAAACACAATGACAAACCCGTCTTTGAAGCATAGGGCCGGGGTGGGAAGAGAAGGCAGAGGAAAGGAGGAGGAGGAGCAGCCTAAGAGGTGAGACTCGGAGTGGTATGGCAAGGGGTGAGCTGAAACCCTCCGGTGGGATGAGTTTTACGGTTGCATCGCAGCCTTTTTACGCATTTGTGAAGGTCAACAAGCAACTAGTCCCTGGTGGATCGATACCCCAGCGTCGTAACAGAGGTTAATACCTTATATAGGGGCTCGTGCTTTAATGTGCTTGGTCCTAGCTGGTGACTCAGGGTTGTCAGTGCTCTCAGACTGGCAATAATACAGCATAGGCTTGTAATTGCCCTCTGCTTGGGAATGGTGTTCATTCCAGCATCGGAAAGCTCCACATAAGGACCTGAGTTTCCCCCGAGACACCCATGTTCTAAAGCTTGATAATCCTATTAAGACAGGGCTGGCTCCTCCGATCCTAGCGGCAGGTATCACTTCAATTTTGCTGCTTAATAGTCCCTAACGCAAACTGCTAATTAGAATAAATAGAAAGGAACATTAGTAATTGTCCTTCAGCAATGGGAAGGAGTTGGGGGGGAGGAACAGAGCGCCTGGCTGACAGAGTTGACTTTGAAAGGAGCAATTAAAGGAAGGGGGAGTGTAACACCACCACTGAGATTATTTTCCAACTCATCACCAATTCTTGGAAAAAGAACAAGAGGCTTTCTGTGACATAGTCAAGCATGAAGTTAATTTGTAATCTTGGAAGGAAACAAACAGCCAGCTGCATCAGGCAGCAAACTTTATCTGGAGAAGCACAGCGAAGGAACAAGCGAAGCAAAGGAGCGGACCCACCCCTCTGCATCCTCCCCAGCCAGCCCAGCTCACTGGCTCTGCTCACGGAGATGGTGGTGAACGTGTCTGACTCGCTGGTCGTGTGTCAGCGCTGCAGCCAGCCAATGTGTACGCCAAGCAGTAAGAATTCTGGATCAGGATTTCAGCTGGACTCACGAGGGTGGTGATGGAGAGCATCAGGACATAAAGCCTTGTACAATATATCCCGGTTCTTCCAGAATGAGATGAAGAATGGAATTGGATTTTGGGGCCCCGTGGAAGACATCTACAGCGTAACATCCCATTGATTTATTCGGGATGTATTGGCAGCATATTGCTGCAAATGCCGTAGTCTGAACACAGACACCCACAAGGGCTGGGGCCCTATCCAGCATTCATTTATTGTTCTGCTTTGCACATTGAGCATATTTAAAGACTGGTTTCCTCAGACGTTTGTGCTCCAGGTGCCACCTTTGTGAAGGAAGACAATAAACCATAAGGCACATGCTTCCACCAAACTCAGGGGTTTAAAACTGTCACTGGGCACGTAAATGCTGTGCAAAAGGTGTGTTCTGTCAGTGGCCCCGTTACAGAGGGATGAAAGCGGGTGGGAAGCATGCAGAATATCATAGAAGGCTCCTAACTTTATTTTTTTTGCCTTTGTTTTCTTCTTTTAGATGATACGAAGCTCAATCAGTATGCAGGAAGTGAAGGTAAGCCCTTAATCTTCTCTCTGCCTGCTCACATTCGTTCCAAGTGAAAACATGTTACACTGAAATCAAATGCACCGGGGAGCTGCGATTAGTCAGCGGGTTGGACAGGTGAAACTGAGATTGCAGGGATGTAATCAAGATAAGACTCCTATTGTCCTTACCCTGATTAATACCATTTCAGGTAGTGAAAAGTGAGTCGGGACCAATCTCTTTTACCCTGATGCTGTTTGCCTACTTTTCCCACTTAGTCCTGTCGTACAAACTAAGGTGATGAGTTTTCTCTTTGCATGTCATTCCCTTTCTTTGCAGTTTTTGCATAGGCACAAAGAAGTCCTTTATTCTTTTGAATTGCCCAAGCTGTGCCAAAAGCACAGTAAAATCCAAATATAAGTGCCCTTAGCCCAGCTCTGCCTTTTTCATCTCTGTTCCTGTGAATCCCCTCTCAGTCTGAGTGTGTTTGTCAGCCCCAAGGGCAGCGAACCGAACTGTTGCTGTAATGCTCTTACTAATTCCAGAGTTTGGGAAGGATCTGGGTGCTCTTCACCTGATATCAGGTTTGTAAGAACTGCAGTTGTATGCAAACCACAAGCCCACCCGTCTTACTTGAAAGCAGTTCATGGAAGTTAAACTGGCGAAACTGGGTGCAGGATCACCCTTTGTAGGCATGGAAGAAATGCATGATCTTTCCAGTTTCAGCCAAATTGCTCCCCAAATGGCTGGTAATGTCACCGTTAATGTATGCCACATAGACCCTCTGTAGCTCTGTGCAATTGCATATTCATAGCCGAGGACCGAGGGCAAGCTGGAGGGCTGTGGGTAAGACACACCGAGGACCCTGCTCAGCATATGGCTAATGGCTTTCTATCAGAGTGAGCAGCCAATATATAAAGAATATGGATTGGAAGGGGGGGTTACTGCACGGTGGTGGTTTAATCTTTCAAACCAGTTACTGCTATCATCCAAAAAGGATGCTGGAGCTCAGACCACAACTGTCTGGTGCATCTTCCCCTCTTGTTGAACCTGACAGTAGCAGGCTAAGTTGCTCAGTCGTACGTGCAGAGCTCTGAAAGGTCTTGCCTTGCTTTTCTTTTCCGTCCTTTCTTTTACCAAGGTCTCAGCACAGGTCAAGACTCAACTGAATCCTTTTTTTATAGGTATGGGAAACAGCCTTCCTTCCAAGAAAGCAGGCGGCCCAATTCACACAGGTACTATCGTGGGGATCGTTCTGGCTGTGTTGCTCATTGCAACTATTATCCTTGCTGGAATTTACATCAACAGCCACCCCACCTCCAACGCTGCCCTGTTCTTCATTGAGGTGAGTGGAGAACCTTATCCCTGGCTGGTTTACTCTTACTCTGCTATCAACACAAATCCTAACCTTCCAGAGGAGAGCAGGGAGCCAAGAGAAGAGGAGAGAGGAACTTTGGTAGAGTTCATATCCGAGTTTCTTTTCATGGTCCTACAGTCACAGCTAATCTCCCAACCTCCAGTTGATGATGTTTTAAACTTAGGCTCTCTCTCTCCCACACTGTTTTATTTTGCTCCCTTTCACACGCTCCCTTTCACACATTGCCTTTTTTTCCCCCCATGCAACGTTAGACTCTTCCACCTGCTTGCATGAGCAGTCGACACACAGCCTGGCTGGAGGGCTCAGTTGGAGCTATGACATAATTGAGATCGCTGCCTTTTGAATTGCCCAGCTGGATTTTGTTGACTAAAATTGTCAGACGTTACTGATAGATGTCATGCCATCAGCTACTGTGTAAGTGGTGGCGTGAATGCTCTAAATGGAAGATTTTAATTCTCAGAAAGATAGGGGGTCCAGCAATCTCCATCTGCTGTTAAAAGCCAGGAGACCGCTTGGTGTAGGATCCCGAGGCAGTCAGAAGTGGGCTGAATCCTGGCACAGGAGCTGCTGCAGAGGGAGCGAGCAACACTTAGCCCTCAGCCTTTCCTTATCACTCGCTGGCTTTTTCCTAGAGCACTTGTCTTTCCTCCATCTGTCCTGTTTGCAGAGACAGGCTTCAGAGAATTGATCTACGTGGCCTCTACCAGTTTAGTACCTGAGCACTTGGCAACGTTTGATGCATTTATCTACACCCAGCTGAGAAGGGGCAATGCAGTTGACCCCGTTTTGCAGATCGAGAGGAGACACAGAGCTGACTTGCATGTGGTCGCACGGGAAGCCCGTGGCTGTCCTCGGCTGCTACCCCAGGCACAGGCCATCCTTGTTCTGAGGCTGATGTGAGCTTTCATGTAAAGTTTCCATTTCCTCCCCGCTCCCCATTTTAACCTTATTAGTGGGTCAGCTCAGTGAGATCGATGCATTGTAATGAACTCTTCTAAGCACGAAGCAATTTTTAAAAATTTATTTTTATTAATAAGAAGTCAAACTTGCACAAAGACAGCATTGTTTTTGTTTCAGGACCAAGTTTCCAATTTCCCTGCAGGCTTGGTGTGAAAGGCTCTGTCATAGCTTCTGATGAGTCTTTGTTTCTGTCCACAGCGAAGGCCACATCACTGGCCCGCCATGAAATTCCGAAATCACACCAACCATGCAACGTACTCAGAGGTGGAGCCGGCCAGCCAGGAGAAGGAGGGCTTTGTCGAAGCAGAGCAGTGCTGAGCGCTTCTCCCCCTGCGTCTCAAACCTCCCATGTCTCAAGTGTTGGAGTCTTCTGTTATTCTATTGCAAAGTCTTTCCCCTCTTGGAAAAAGAAACAGCAAGTAGAGGAAAAAGACCCAATGGAGCATTTGAAAAGAATGAGTCAGGGCGATGTGAGGCTGGACTTGCCGGGATTCCTCATGAGACAGCAGAGCTCTCAGCGGCAGCAGTCAGTTGTGACATTGGACCCTGCCTGCAGCCTGGCACCGAAGCCCTGGATGTGGTAGTAGAAAAAAGCGTAGTCAATTTTTTAGCTTGGCATGGGTTTTTTTGTTCTGTGGTTGGGCTTCTCCCCACTGTGTGTGGCTGACCTCTCCCCTCCTCTACCAGGAGTCTTAACAGGGGCAGCAAAGGGGGGGCAAATCTCGGTCCGGGCAAAATACACAGTTGCCTCAAGCAGCAGGCTCTTGGGGACAGCAAAAGAGATGCTTTTTGCTGCATACTCTGGCTCTGCCTGCACTCAGGAAAGTCGGGCTGGTTGCGTCTGCCCCTCTCCATGGAGAGGCTGGTACTTGGGGGTAGATGCTGTTGGTGGCCCAGGAGGGGTAAGGTTGGCTCCCCAGGGCTCGCCTCCCCTCTCCCATCCCCTCTCCCCCAGCTCTGTCCCTTTCTCTGCTCTCCTCTTCACCTTCTTTTGGGGCAGGTGACATTTAATTTTGTCTTCACGGCTGAGAAGCCTTGAGCCCCTGTCTTTTCATCCTGCAGTTGGTCTTCCACCACCGTGGCTTCAACTCCCTTTCCTCTTCTCCTTTCAAAGCAACAGCTTCCACCCCCTGCTCCAGAGAAAGGGAAACCTGATCTATTTTAAGGGCAAAACCCTGCAGAGGATTCACCTTCAGGATGTTTGTGAGCCAATGGCTCTGATGCACTTTTTGGCATCTAATTCGTTTGCTAAATTACTAATTATGACCCTTTCCCTAAAGGAGACAGAGTGTGAAAAATTCTTAGATTCCTTCAAAATACGTCCTCGTGGCGTGGCCACTAATGCAGCAGGAACAGAGTAGGTTTCGATGGAAGAGGATGGGGACAGAGCACTAGCAAAAGCAGTGTCCTCCCACAGGCTAAATCCTGAAGTAAATCCAAGCTCATTCATGGGCATTTCACATAAATAAGGAGTGAGGGCCTACATGCCTTGATACCATTGAAAAAAATCTAAAAATCACCTTGTTGATACCACAGTTTTTAGAGCCTACTCAAGTCAGTGGAATTTTTTCTATTTTTTTTTATTTTGTTATGTCTGTGATAGGCCCCTGGTCTGGATTTGTACATATATTGTGATTCCAGAATCTGACCCTAACTAAGGGCTTTGACACTAGACCTCTCAGGGTTTTCTACTCCTTCTGTGCAATCAGAATTCAAGACTAATCTGTAGAAATACTCTACCCTACTTCCACAGACACCAGCTGCAGGATTGGGCCCTAAACTGACAAAAGCTTGTATAAAAAAAGAGAGTCCAAAGTCCAGTGTAAGGTAAAGTTTTCTTTACCCCACTAAAAATGGTCTTGGTTGTATGGGGCTTTTTTTCTTTTTCTTTTTTTTTTTTTAATTTTCTCTTGATCCTCAGTTATTTATTCTGATAATCATGTTTGGTGCATATTTTATCCACTGGCTGGTTCAGCTGTCACTGGTGGTGATTACTGCCAAAGGCAGGGTCTGTCTAATTAATGTTTTCCTTCTCATCTGCTGAATTTATATAGCCATTAAAGATAAATATGGATGCTTTGTGGCATTTAGACCCCAGATTATACTTTCTCATACATAGCCACTAGGGAGACTTTTGCTGCATCTTATTATGGCATAAAGGCACCAAAATGCTCAAACGGGGTAAGTCAGACTGAGTCGTGCCAAGTTGTTATGGCCCAGACAGTCTCTCTTTAGACTTATTTTGAAGATAAACTTTATTCCCAAATAAAGCTTTCAGCTGGAAGGTTGTTTTCTTCCCCTGTTTCCCTGAAGTAGAAAGAATTCAAAGGGATGCTGTCATCTAGTTTTTGCCCAGGATCTGATCTCCTTTGAAATGGTTATGAGCTGGTAAGGAATTTTCTCTAGATTTAACTCTTTCCAAATAATGGCCTTGTTTTTACTGTTTTTTCTGAACCTGCATGCACAGTAACAGCAAGATTTTGGGTACTCCTCTTCCCCTAGAGCCCCTAGAAATGCTAGGAAACATCCAAGAGTACTGAAATGCTGCAAATTTAAAAGAAAACAGACTTTAAATAGCATGTAATTGAGCTGTATAAATCACTGGTGCATTACTGCAGCCAGGATCTTAGAAGGATTCAGCAGAGGATCAGATACTCAGGTGGAGAATAACAACATCCAAGTGCCATAGCATAGAAATGGCACAGAAATGGCTGAGATATGTAAACCACCCATACTTCAGGGGAGATGCCAAGTTCTGAGTGCCTGGAGTAAAAAAGGCTTTTTTTTTTTCTTTTTTTCTTTTTTTCCCCCCCCTTTAAGGAAAGAAACAAACAAAACCAGGCTATTCTGTAGCTGTGCACCAGATGTTTGGTCTACCTTCTACTGATGAATATGTTTTGGGTTATTGTCAGGTAGAGTGTTAACAGCTCCAATTCATCATCTCTAAGACCTTGTGGTAGAGTAGGTGGAGAAGTTACTGCCCATAGTCATGTGCGTGCTCTGAGGTGAAGGTTTGGATCCACCCAGCATCTCCCACTGCCCAGCCTGGAGAAACAAGGCACTTACATGCTGTGTTTCAAGAAGGAGGAAAAAAAAATATTCTGTCCTACCTTTCAACATGAGGTCTAGCTCTGGGCACTTGAAGTTCACATCTGGGAAGCTTGAGAGTCAGCAGGGAGCAATCTTTTCTGAATATTCTTTGCACATGGCTTTGTAGTGGAAGAGAAGAGGTTGTCTATTAAATTCCAGAAAGCCCGACGGTAACGTTGCCGATGCCTAGAAGAAAGAGAAAAATGTCTTTACCATCAACAAGTACTGCTCTCATGGTGAAGAGGAGAGGGGAGTCTGGGTGCAAGTGTAACGTTGGCTGCACCAAGTCAAATGCCTCAGGATCGATACTCCTTTCCTATCTGTGTAACTCTGACTTCAAGATGCCGGTTAATCTTGCTAGTCTCGAGTGCCGAAGCAAGAACATAATGATGGCGACTATGACATAAAGAGAGTTTGATTTTTGCTTTTAATCCTGTGGCTTCTCTAGCCACTTCTTGAGGTTTTCCTCTGGATTCTGATGAACCCAGTATTTGGGCTTGCTTCAGAGCAGACTGCAAAATGTACATGTGTATATTGACCTGTATATTTTATAGCTATAAAATGGGCTGGGGCTGTTAGCTGTGCTCAGTCCATTGCTCAGCTGGTTAAAAGAAGATGCAAAACACAAACAACTGCTACAGCTCCTCATTTGTCTTTCCAAGCACCATGCCCTGGTAGTTTGTGGCAACTGCTGAGTGTGTTGTTTGGGCTAAGGCAGCTGCCTGTCATCAGGCAGAAAATGACATCACATATCTGCTCCGTGGCCACTCATCTGCATTCAGCAGTTGGGAAAACACAGCACAGGGTTTATCAGAGACCAATGAGAGGTTGGTTCTGCTCCTATGAAAGTTGGGGGCTAACCCCCCCATTTTTTACATCGATGGGAGCACAACCCACATCAAAAAATATTCTCTTAATAACTAAAGGCCTACTTTCCACATACTTGAATTTACAGCACAGCTGGACTATTTGAGGGACTAAAGGCACTTTAACTGTCTTTTAATGCAATGTATTTACTATGGATTATCTGCATGGAATACAGTCAATATTAAAAAAAAATCTTCCTTTTGGACTGCTTTGTTTTCAAAATAAAACATGTAAAGAATTATTGGTCATGTTATGTGAACTTCGAAGCAGGATGGGAATTATTTTCATCCTGTATTATTTTAATTGACACTATAAGAATATAAGGATTTTTTTTTAAGACATCCTTTTCTGTCTTAGTAATAACACATCATTATCAGGAGGTGTTCCCAGGACGCATCTAGGATAAAAACTAATGTAATTGAGGTTTGAATCAAGACTATAATTTTCTTCTCATTTCATTCTGCTCAGCTTATCTAGAGGTGGGGTTTTTTTGCAGGCTTCTCAACTTGAACAATTACGTTTGCTTGGCCCATTTGACTTTTTGACAGCAGTCAGATTTAGCGTTTTGAACTCTGCACTAGCACCAAATTATTTCAAAAATGTAAATCGCTTTAAAGGTCATTATCTGAGACCTCTGGGTAGCACCTCCATGTTTACGCTTCCTTTGCTATTGTACGTTAAAAGTACGAACAAACGGGCATGCTGCAGTAACTGAAAGGAGATGATGAACTGTAGGAAAAGGCCCATTTTGCAATTAACTACGGATATCAATAGATTGATTCCTGTGGGAGCTTTGATAGCACTGCTTCCATGTGTGTTACACCTTGAGTAGCTGATAAGGGCATAGCCACAACAAGGACTTACCTGTAACCCTTTGCATGCACTTACCTTCCAAACTGCTGTATCATGTAGAAATTCCCAAGGCAGCAGAAAAAATGGAGCAATTCAGTCCTGCTTCACAAGAGGTTAAGTATGAGCCTCGTTAGAGACACACCGAGAGAGAAGGATGTTTGGAGCTGTAGTTAACGTACGGGGTTGTGGTCCAGGAGATGCAAGTCTCCGATAGTAAAAGATCTCCTGGTATCTCAGCTGCTCATCTGTAATATGTGAACAATAGCACCATGTTTTGCCTGTGGCTATTTAAATTGTAAACTCCCCAGGCTGGAGCTGTTCCCTAGCATGTATGTGTACTGTTCTTGGCCTTGATTCTGCTCAAGGAGCTAAATGCATAATTTTCTAAGCGTAACTTTGTCCCTACTGCCCTTCCGAACTGAATGTCACCATTTTTTGTACCTCCTTTCAATGGCTATGACCATGTTGCAATACTGGAAAAAGAAGAAATACATGAGCTTCTTCTCATT